CCTTATTAATAACCGGTTTTATATTATACGAAAATCCAATTCGGTTCTTGAATTTACAACCGGTTCCGACCTCTAATTCAATCGATAAAGCTTCAATTTTCTATTTGGCAAACTCCGACGATTATTACATTACTTTTTCGATCATATAAGATTTACTCTATTTAGCATTACTAATATTAAACATTTAAAAATTTTTACATATAATTAGAAATCTCGATTTCACTTCTCTTTGAGATCTCTTGCATGTTGATTCGAAGTGTACATATGGGGATCCCCACAGCAAAAGAAGGCAGTGGCAGTTTTAAAATTTGATCTTTAAATAAGTATATCTCGTGATCTAGTGATCAGAATAAATAATTTTATATCATTAGAATCAAATTTTAAAACTTCTTTTGCTGTGGGGGTCACCATATGTTGGTTCAATCATTTCAGGTTTTTTTTTTTTTCTATTTATATTCCAAGAATTTCTTTCATTTTCAAATGATCTTTCAATTTTTTTAAGCCAATCTTCGACCTTAATTTATTTAAGTAGTCTTTTCTGAATATCCATGTATCGTTTAGATATTTTATAAAGAATCAGGTGTTCCATGGCCATTCGTCTTGTATATTAAATAGTTCAACTTCTACCTGTTTCTCATAAATTCATTTATGATCACAAATCTGCTAATACGGGTGATACTAGTGGGACTTATTATCCGAATGTTCATCCTTTTCTATTCCAATTCCATTTTCATAACATTATTCATTCCTTTGGTATCACCCATATCAACAGAACTTTGATACGTAATAAATAAATGCCTTATGTTTATCCAATTCATAAGGCATTTATAAATAGAATCGAAATAGAAAAAGATGAACATTCGGCATTCATTATTATTAAAAATCAGCAGATATAAATCATTATTTATACAATTTCAATTACAAGTATTTGGTAGTTTGTGGTTGAAGACACGTAGCTTTAAAATTTTATTACTTTCTAATTATTTCCGTAATGTAGTTACAATTTTAGATCTCATGTAACTAAATAAAGAAAAAATAATATAAAATTTAATGACTCGAAGTCTTTATCTGTTGCTATCGTTATTAT